CCTTGAGAGGGTCATGTGTGAAGCTGTGAATGTGAAGCCAAAGAAGTAGTGGAGCCCCAGAAGTTTGAAGAAGTCAGGAGTGTGGATCATCTGAGGAAAACTGCAAGGAGGGAGCAGAGTGGGCCCAAAAAAGAAGCCATCGGAGCTACCACCACCATCACTGTTGCTGCAGGGGTGGAGCCACCCAAGCCCTTTGGTTTGTTTGTTTTTTTTTCTTTTTGAGACAGGGTCTCTCCATGCAGTTCAGGCTGGCCTCAAGCTCACTTTGTAGCCCAGGCTGGTCTCAAACTGGCAACAGTCCTCCTGCCTCAGCCTCCTGAGTGCTGGGATTACAGGTGTGCATCACCACACCTGGATACCCAAGCCCTTTGGAGTTAACATCTTGTCACAGATTCCCTCAGATGCTGCACATGGAACTGTAGGACTTAATGTTTACCTTACTGGATTTTGGACTTGCTTTGGTCTCATTCTTTAGTATCTCCCTATTTATAACTTTTGGAATGGAAATATCTATATTGTGCCATTGAATGGTGGAAGTGTTTAACTTTCTTTTCATTTGTACAGGAGCTCACAGTTAAGAGTTTGGCTTAAATCTCAGAGGAGACTTAGGACTTGAACTTTTCAGCAAAGTTAAAATTGTTAGGATTTTGACAACTCTTAGAGATGCACTAAATGCCTTTTAAGTAAAGGAATGTACATGAGTCTTTGGGATGTCAGGGATGGAATGTTCCAGTTTGTGTCTAGATGTCTCCTCAAAGCCTCATGCCATCGTCAGGGGCTTTACAGAGGTAGCTGAGTCTAGAGTTTGTGATTGATTCATGATCCAGTAGTGGAACTAAGGGTGTGAGTGCTACACCTACCCTAGTGCTGGTAGTCTGCATACAGTATAAGGGACAGAAAGAGGCTTGTCTTCTTGCTTGTTGCTTTTGCTGTCTTCTGTTGTCATGAACTGTTGCCCCTCTTCTGTGCCCAACTCTTCCTTAGAGCAAGCTGATTATGGACTGAAACATCTATAAACTATAAACTAAGTAAACCTTTTCTCCCTTAACTTGTGGGTGTTGGCTATTTTGTCACAGCAATGAGAAGAGTAACTAAGATAAGTACTAACAAAATTGTAATGAGCGACCTCAGTACCCCACTGTCACAAGTAGATCAACTAGACAAAAAAAATCAACAAAGAAATATCAGAACTGAACCAAACCTCTGAACAAATGGACTTAATAGATGTCTATGGAGTGTTCTACCCCACATCAGAATATGTATTTTGCTCAGCTACACATGGGACATTCATCAAAATAGACCACATACTAGTTCATAGAACATGCTTAAGTAAATGCAAAGGAATTGAAATCATCCCATGCATATTATGAGACCATAGTGCAATGAAATTAGAAATCAATCACAAAAGAACAAAATCTACATAAACATGGAAATTAACACCCTTTTGCATAACCAATAAGCCACAGATGAAAGTAAAGAAGACATTAGACAGTTTCTACAATTAAATGGTAATTCCAGTACAACACACCAGAACTTCTGGGATGCAATGAAACCAGTCCTATGATGGAAATTTATAGTGGTGAACTCCTACATCAGGAAAAAACAACCTAATGTTGAACCTCAAGCTTCTATAAAAAGAAGAATAAGTAAAACCCAAAGCTCAAGTGAGGAAGGAAATTATAAAGATCAGAGGAAAAAATTAATGCAATGAATACTAAGAAAACAATATGAAGAAACAATGGGTTGAAGAGATGGTTCTTTGAAAGATTAAATAAAATTGATAAACCCTTAGCCACACTTACCAAGAAAAGAGAAGAAAAGACTTAAATCCATGCAGTTAGGAATGAAAAGTGTACAATTCCTGGTATCAAAAAAAAAAAAAAAAAGAATGAAAAGTGTAAAATCACAACAGATTTTGCAGAAATCCAGAAGATCCATATCTATTTTAAGAACCTGTATTTTAATAAGATGGAAAATACAGAAGAAATGAACAGATTCATAGATACATATGAATTACCAAAGCTGAATTATGAAGATGCAAGAACTCCAAATAAACAAATATCAGTCAATGAAATTGAAGATGTTATTAAAAACCTATGAACAAAGAAAAACCCACATCCTGATGGATTTACTGCTGAATTCTACAAGAAATTTAGAGGAAAATCTAATGCTGTAGCTCCTCAAACTCTTCAAGGAAATTGAAAGGGAAGTAATACTCACAAACTCCTCAAACTCTTTAAGGAAATTGAAGGGAAGTAATACTCCCAAACTTATTACTAGAAGCAAGTATTACCCTGATATCAAAACCAGAGAAGGATCCAACCAAAGAAGAGAACTACTGGCTAATCTCCCTAATGAAGATAGACACAAAAACCCTCAACAAGGTACTGGCAAACAGAATGCAGCAAATCGTCAAAAAGATTATACTCCCATGACCAAGAGAGATTCATCCCAGGAATGCAGGAGTGGTTTCAACATATGCAAGTCAATAAATGTAAAACACCATATGAACAGAGCCAAAGACAAATATCACATAATCATCTCAATAGATGCAGAGAAAGCATTTGACAAAGTTCGACACCCATTCACAATAAAAAAATTGGAATAGATGGTTTATCTCAATCTGATAAAAGCCATCTATGACAAACTAACAGCCAGTATCAAAAAAATTAAATGGTCAAAAACTCAAAAGTTTTCACTCTAAAATTAGGAACAAGGCAAGGATGTCCATTATCAGCACTCTTATTCAATACAGTTCTGGAAACATTAGCTAGAGCAATTAGAGAAAGAAATAAAGACAATAAAGTTACAAAAGGTAGAAGTTATCATTTGCAGATGACATGATATTTTACATGGAATACCCCAAAACCTCCACCAAAAGACTTCTAGGTTTCATAGTGAAATTCAGTCATATAGCTGGTTACAAAGTCAACACTCAAAAAATCAATAGCTTTCTTGTACACAAATAACAGACTCAGAGGAATTAGAGAAAGCATACCTTTCACAATAGCATAAAAAAAATGAAATACTTAGGAATCAATTTCGCAAAGTAAGAAAAAGGTCTCTACATTGAAAGCTATGGTACTTTGAAAAAGGAGATCAAAGAAGATATCAGAAAATGGAGATATGCCTTGTTCTTGAGTAGGAATAACCAACATAGTGAAAATGGCCATACTCCCAAAATTGCTGTGCAGATTTAATTCAATCCTGATCAAAATACCAATAGCATACCTCACGGAATTAGAGAAAACAATCTTAAAATTTATTTGGAGCTAGATGAGACCTGCAACAGCAAAAACAATTCTGGGTAACAAAGGCAAAGTAGAAGGCATCACAATGCCTGACTTGAAATTATACTACAAAGCTAGTGTGATAAAAACCACACGGTAATGGCAAAAAAACCCCAATCCCTCCCCCGCCCCACACACAAAAAAACAGACCCAAGAATCATTGGAACACATTAGCAGATTGAGAAAGAACTCCAAACACAGCCACCTTATCTTTGACAAAGGGGCCAAACACCTTCACTGAAAGAAAGATAGCCTATTTATTAAATGGTGCTGGAAAAACTGACTTTCTACATATTCAAAACTAAAACTAGACCCATGTCTATCACCAAATACCCAACTAAAATCAAAATGTATACTCAAGGCAGAAGCACTAAATCTGCTAATAGAGAGACTAGGTAGAACTCTTGAGACATAGTTGTAGGCAAAGACTTAATGAATAAAACCCCGACCGCATTAGAAATTTTACAAAGACTCAACAACTGGGGTTGTATCATACTAAAAAGCTTTTGCACAGCAAAAGATATCACCAACATCATGAAGAGACAACCTACCTAATCAGAAAAAATATCTGTCAGCTGTTTCTTAAAGGACCAAGATCTAGAATATATAAAGAACTAAAAAAAAAAAATCATACCCCCCCAATTTAAAGATACAATCCAAAATGGGCACCTGAAATGAATAGATACTTCTCGAATAAATAAGTAGAAATGACACATAAATATGTGAAAAATATGTTCAATATCATGGGTCATCTAAGATGCAAATTAAAATAAGCTGAGATCATTTGACTTCCAAAATAATAGCTGCTATCAAGAAATCAACAAATAACAGATGCTGCTGAAGCTGTGGGGGAAAAGGAACCCTTCTCCACTGTTGGTGGGAGTGTAGACTGGTGCCACCACTATGGAAATCAGCGTGAAGGTTCCTCAAATCTAGGACTAAATGTCCAATTTGACCTAGCCGTGCCCTTTCGTGGTATCTCCCCAAAAGAATTAAAAACATCATACCACATCAATATATGCAGATCCATGTTTATAGCAGCACAGTTCATAATAGCTAAATCTTGGAAGCAGCCCAAATGCCCATCAACCAATGAATGAACAAAGAAGATGTGGTTGTTTTTATACAAGAGTACTACTCAGCCATAAAGAATAAACAGCCATTTCTAGGTAAATGGATGCACTTTGAGACTACACTCTTAAGTGCAGTAAAATGAACATATGTGTAAATGTTGCATTGTTTCTTTGGTGTAAGAAATGAAGTGTGAAAAAGGACCAAAATGTGTAATAGATATTGTGAAATAGCAGGAAATTGTTCAAAAGGAAAGGGGAACTAGGGAAAGGGGACAGGGAAAGGAAGGAAGAGCAAAGAAAGGAACAACAAAAGGAAAAAATGGAAACAAATCTTTTTAAATAAGGAGGGGATGAGGGATTGAAGGGAGTGGGGGAATGGAAAAAAGAGTCAAGATATATTATGTACAGGTACAAATTCCCTATGATGGGGCTGGGGATTTAGCTCAGTGGCACAGCGCCTGCCTGACAAGTGCAAGGCTGTGAGTTCAATTCCTGGTACCAGAAAAAAACCAAACCAAACCAAAACAAATTCTTTATGATAAGTGTGATCATTACATATATCTAAAATGTACCAGTGAACTTAATTCAAAGAAAAAAGAGAAAGCAACCATGTTCAAGAGGAAATGGTAATACTCACATTATCAGGACCAATTAAACAGCTCACACTTTTCAAGGGGCAGAATGTATCAAATTGTCCATAAAAATGTCCACTGCAGGGATTCCATATTAAATAATGATTTTGTTCCCAAGTTAGCACATAGGCAGTTGGACCCTGAAAATAAATAGATATTAAAAACAGTTTTGAATGAATTATGCAATTAAGGCCAATAGTAGTTTGCACATTTTGTCACTTTAGTTGGATCCAAAAATTCCATGACAAATCGTGCAAATTATTTTGTAGTTCTATGTTGATTGGATTTTAAATATGAAATTTTTTTTTGAAAATTCTCAGGTCTCATATAGTGCTGTCCAACTAAGGATAGCAGTTATTTTACTCAACCAGAGTATCTCAAGATTGGCTGTAAAACCACTTCTAATGGAAGTCACTGGCATTTTCTTCTTAGAGTGGATAAAATTGCCATTTAGGAATCTAGAAAGCTGATTATTTTGGATTATTTTTCTTTTTTTTTTTTTTTTTTTTGTCTTTTTGAGACAGAGTTTCGCTATGCAGTTCAGGCTGGCCTCAAACTCCCAATGATCCTCCTGCCTCAGCCTCTCGAGTGCTGGGATTATAGGCATGCCCACCACGCCTGGTAGGAATACTATTTCTAAGAAAGCAGTTTACATTGGATACCCATTTATAATTATACAAATGCCTAGCAGACCTAAAAGATGCTTGGGAGAGGACAGGGAGAAAGGACAGCTAACTGGGGCTTTGGATGGCAAAGGGTCCAGTTTTGCCATAAAGCAATTAGAAGTGCTATGGAGGGATCTAAGGACCACATCAAATTATTTCATGTCTCACTGGTAGCTCTGTCTGCCTGTTCGGGCATTTCTGGGCCACTTTCCTAGTAACTCTGAGCTGTTACAAAGACAAGTCCCATCCATGGATCGGGCTAGACAACAACACGCCTCTGCGGAAGCCAGGCTACGTGACCTCACCTCGGGAATCGCGTTGCCCATCACCAGCCAGGCCTTCTTCCCCAGGAACAGGAAGTAATTACACAGCAGGACTGCGTGCTCCTCTTCATCTCCTGCCAGGAGATCAAGAAATTGCTGGCAAGAAGAAAAGAAGAAGATGGGGTATGACGGACTGCTTTAGCTGATTGGCTACGCACAGTTTTAGCAAGTCATAGTTGAGACTAGTATCTTAAAGTATAAGACATTTTTTCAAATCCTTTTCCAGTTTTGGTAGTATATGGATGATTTTTGTTTTCTCCTATTTGACAGGATTTGGTATGTAGTTCAGAATGGCTTTGAATTCACTGCTTAGCCCCAGCTGGGCTTGAACTCACAGTGATCCCCCTGCCTCAGCCCCCCAAGTGCTGGGCATACAGGCGTGCACTAGCATGCCCTCATGCCAGTTGACAAGCTTTAACAACTTTTTAGTGGACAGTGTGTTCTCTAACATCGGTGATGGTGTAGACTTCTAGAATCAATAATCAGTATGATTGGGGTATGGGCGACAATTTTAAGAATTTTAGTTTTCATTTTGAATGTGTACATGATTGCGCACTTTAGGGTAAATGCTCCGTACAGCGTATAACATGCATGAATGCATTTAATCTTAGAGCAACGTTTTCAAGAAAGTGCTCTCATTCCCAGTTTTACAGATAAGAAAGTGAAGGCATGGACCCGAAAGTAATACCGAGACAGTGTTAAGCCAGTCTTGCTGTAGTATGCGAACTGTTCTGTAGTTCATATATCTTCACATGGATCCCTTCAGGTTGTGGAAAATTCATTTCTGAAATTGTCAACATTTGTGTTGCCAAAATATGTTATGGGATAAAAAATGTAGAGTGCACTTAAGTTTCTTCAAGGTAAGAGTTTCTTTCAAAGAAAGCTGTATAATACTGTGTAATGCAAGCACAGTACAATGGGAGATCCAGAAGCAGAATTAATACTTTGGATATGGTTGTTTCATATTACCTAAGATCAGTTTGGAAGTTTATGTACCATACAAAATTATAAATTTGGTAGAAGTGGAGCCATATTTATTTTGCTAAGGCCAGGACCTAGGGCAAGTTCTGCTATATAGTAGGTGACCAGTAAGTACATACTGAATAAATAATGATGTAACATCCGTTAGAAAGCCTATGAATTAAGGAATATACAATTGCCAATTATAGTATAGAATGCATTTTCATTTTTATGAATAAAACTGGGATATTGTTACTATAATACTAAGAGGATAATTCAGCATCAACACATTTAAAGTCTTATTTTTTTGTGGTGGAGCATGTTTATAATCCCAGCACTCAGGAGACTGAGGCAGGAGGACTGCCACAAGTTTGAGGCCAGCCTAAGTGCCACAGTGAGTTCAAAGCAATCTTGGACTGCAGAGCAAGACCCTGTCTCAAAACAACAATGACAACAACAACAAAAGTCTTATTTTTTATTCTTTGTGTAATTTTCTTTTTAACTTCTTAGCTGTTAGAAAATGACCCAGGAAAAAATGTACTACAGAATTTAGCTCATACTGCTAAAGAGATGGCCAAGTACTTTTTTTGTGATGACTAATGAATGTTGCAATATAAAATCATGCAAGCCATTTAGCTAATATTCAGTTAAGTCAGCTCAAGTTAGTCAATCTGCAAGGAAGAAAGACTTACATCAGATGTGCTCCAGAGATCACAGACACCAGCAAACGAAACCGTGTCAGGCAAGAAAGGGATCAAGGAAACGTACCGCGCTACCAGTTCCTGTAGAAACAAAATTGGCATTAAAAAATAATTTAAAGTAAAGTAGGAAGCTGCATCCCCGATCTCATTTTTATGCCAAGTTTTGTATTAATATTACTTTACTTAATCCTCACCAAGCATCTTGTGCAGGTTAGTGCTATTATTTATGTATTATATATGTTATAAATATCTTCTGATTTATGGTTTAACTTTTTTCTTCAGTTACTTTTGAGAAACTCAAATTCTCAATTTAATATGGTCAAATTTTTGTATTTCTTTGTCACAAAATTTGTGCTTTTTTCTTAGTTAAGAAATCTTTTTCATCTCAGATCATAAAAATCAAAATGCCTTTCTCACTTAAGCCTTTAATCGGTATGCAACTGAGAGTTGTGAAGTCTGGATAAATACTGTGGCCAGTCTTCCCAAGAGGCCCTACTCCTCAGTATTGTTTCGACTGTATTTGGCTTTTTTCAATCTTATATAAATATTAGAATCAGCTTGTCAGGTTCTACTAGAAACTTTTAAAAATCTGACAATCTTTGTCCTCTCTGGAAAGTTTAGACTCTTTCCTTTGATTGTGATTATTGGTAAATATTTAGATTACTTCTCTCATCTTATTCTGTAATTTTACTTTTCATTTGTTTTTATTCTTGTTCTCTCTCTCATGCTATTTCATTATCTTCTTCTATTTTAAAAGTAATACTATTTTTATTCTTTTAAATGGTTAATCTAGAAACTTCAATATGCATATTTGTTAAATCTAAAATTAATACCTTTACCCTCATCTTGAAAAAATCAAAGACATTCTCATCAATTTTGTCCTTATATCTATATATTCTTTTGTATTCTGTCTTGATTTTTTACCAATTTGCTATTATTATTACTATTAAGATAATACTTAACATTCTGTGTCATATTTAGGATTATCCTCTAAGAACCTTCAAGTACCATATATATGTTTGTGTGTGTGTGTGTGTGTGTGTGTGTGTGTATTCCAATTTGCTAATTCACATATATATGCAATTCGTTTAATAAAAGTGATTTGGTTGTGAGTTTTTCCAACATTTGTGATAAAGACAGTTTCACTGACAGACAGCGATTTTCTTTTAGCCTGTTGAAGATGGCTTTCATTACTGCAGTTGACAAGTCTGTTGTTCTAATCATTTCTTCTTTTGTAGATAATCTGTTTCCTCTCTAGTGGTTTTGAAATCATCCTTGTAGTTTTCTATGAGATGTCTAGATTGTGACATCTTTGTATTTATTTTGCTTAATATTTGTTAGGCTTCCTGAATCAGGATTGTTACCTTTCATTAAATCTGGGAACTTCTCTGTTTAGTTTCTTTGAATATTTCCTTGCTTCATTTTATATCATTTGAACTTCCTCTTCCATCCCCTTTAACCATTCCTTTATGCCTCCTCCTGCACTTTCCTTTCCTTTCTTTTTTTTTTTTTTTTTTCCATCTTTTGAGACAAGGTTCACTATGCAGTTCAGGCTGGCCTCAAACTCACAGAGATCCTCCTGCCTCAGCCTCTGGAGTGCTGGGATTACAGTTGTGTGTCACCATACCCAGCCTATCTTTTTACTTTTTTTTGTCTCTACTTTTTCCTATCTCTGTGCATTCCAAGTAGTTTCTTTGCATGTGTATTCCAGTTTGCTAATTCATTGTGTTTAAATGTATGTAATGTAACTCTATATTTAACTGTGTTTAATGTGTCATTGGGCCTGTTTAATTTCTAGTTATAACTATCATGTCTTTGATATATGTGGTTCTTTAAAAAACATCTGCCTCTCAATTTTGATAGTGTATTGTTCAATTATACTTGCAATTCCTCAGATTTCTTAAGCTTATTAAACATATATATATATTTTTAATATTGTGTACCTGCTAATTCTTGGTTTGTTGTGAGTTTTTTGAGGCAGGGTCTGGGCCGCTTTATGTGTGCCAGGCTAGCCTGGAACTCCTGGGGATCTTCTGCCTCAGCTCCCGGAATGCTGAAATTGCAGGTCTGTGCTGCTCTGCCCGCTGCACCTGATAATTGTATCTGCAGCCCCTGTGGCCAGAGTCTCCAATTTGTCATTCCTTTTGACTCTTACTTTCTGTATGATGATTTACTTCTACCCTGAAATACTTTTTTTTTTGCTTTGTTTTAAACCATTGCTAGATTTTATTTATTTTATTTTTCTTGTGTAAGAACCCTTATGTTGTAGCTACTGCTGGAGCTTGAGTCCTCTGGACAGAGACTCTGGTGTGGGATTTCACAAGATGGTCGGTGAGTTCCTGATAGGGCGACTTGGTGAACACTCTTTCCAAAGGTCAGGGGTCAGGTAGCTGTAGGTCTTGGATATGGCATCAAAGGTGGCCTTAGCAAAGTTGCCCAAAGTAGCAGTGCAGCCCCTGGCAGAGGTGTAGCAGTCATCAGTACCAGCCATCAGCAGTAGCTTCTTGGGCAAGGGGCTGAGACGATGCCAGTGCCTCTGGGGGCAGGGATCAGACGCACTATCACAGAGCCACAGAGGCCCGTCACTTACAAGGGACAGTGTGGGGCTCTCCGATCTTGTTCCCCCAGGAGCCTCTCCGCACCGGGTCGTGGAGAGCTTGGCCGGGATGATGGCCCCACGAACGGCAGTGGCTACTTCCCTGGAACACTTTACACCCAGACCAGCATGACCGTTGTAGTCCCCAGTGGCGACAAATGCCTTGAACCTGGTCTGCTGGCCAGCCCGAGCTTGCTTCTGCACAGGCATGATCTTTAGAACTTCATCCTTGAGGGATGTGCCCAGGAAAAAGTCAATAATCTCAGTGTTATGGTTGAAACATTGTGTCAACTTGGGGAGTCTAGAGGTTTGGCTAAGTAACTTAGCAGGAAGCCAGAGTGCTTACTTTGTATACATCCTGAGCCTGTGGAAGAGGAGGTCACGGAGATTATGTGAGAGCTACATGCCCCTTAGGTGGGGGTAGCCTGTTTACGATGTAAGGCAAGAAAGAAGCTGCTTGCCGCCATTCCTGCGGTTTGCTCTGGCTGCTTTGCTGTTCGGCTGCCGTTCTCCTCTTTGTTCTCGTTGCTTTGCTACCTTCTGCCTCGGAGCCAGCCAAGTACGGACTGGAACCTCCACAAACTAAGCTAAATAAACCTTTCCTTCCTTCATTTTCGGCATTGGGTATTTTGTCTCAGCAACGAGAGAAAAGTAACCAAGACACTCAGACTCCTTAATGGGTGAGGAGAAGAGATAAATTTCCTCCAGGGACTTGATCTTCATGTCCTTGACCAACCGGCCCAGCTTGGTGACAGGAATCCACTTCTTGTCCTCAGGCTTACCGCTGCGAGCCCCTCGGCCTCGGCCCCGGCCCCGGCCCAGGCCCCTGCTGCGCCCGCGGCCCCGAAGACCACTGCCGAAGCCTCCGCGGAGACCGCTGCGGCCTCCCATGCCTGGGCCTCCGGGGCCACCCGCTGCACCGGCGTCATCTGCCATTTGGTGTTTCCCGGAGGAAGAAGCTGAAATTCTTTGTTGTGTGGGCGTATCACTGGAACTTTCTGTGTGGAATTGTTCTGTGGCTGAGATTAAATGACTTTCTTCTAGAAGGATTTAGGTTTGCTTTTGACAGTGGTTTGCTTTCAATTAGATTGTTGGTTGAAGTTTTTTGAATCATATAGGCGGTGTAAATTCCAGTCCCATATGCGAATAAAAGCAGGTTAGTGACCAGGAATTCTCAGGAAAGAGGATTTTCTCTCTTCCATCAGGAGTCAGGACTGAGTCAGCTAGGACTCTTTCTGCAGAGTGAAGGAATTCCTCTTTTACCCACTGATCCTATTCCCCTGTGTGCCTCTGCCGCTGCTCTCTGCCTGGGGCTCACTGAAACTCAGCACTAGTCTACTGGAGTCAGCAGACAGCCTGGGTAAAGTTTTCTGTACATCTATAGTGTAGGGAGCACAGACACTCCTGTGATTTTCCATAAAAAGTAATTTAAAAAATAAACTGTAGAATATGGTTTTAAAAAACATATATCATCCTATTTCTCAATCATTACATTAATAACATTAGCAGTAAGATTCTCTCTTCAAAAACAGTGAAGGGTTACTTAAAAATACCCAAGCTGACCTGGCTTCTGGTTCCCTGAGTTTGGGATGGGTGTGGTGCTCCAGAGGCAGTGAAGGGTGTGAGTGTACTTAACGCCTAAGTAGGGATGCACTTGGGGATGGTCTCAATGCTGAAAATACTAATATTAATGGTTGGAATAAATTTTGATTAATTTGAATTTAGTGATGCTTGTAGCATTAAGTATATACCAAATAGTTATTTTTTGGTTGTTTGTTTTGTTTTAAGACAGGGTCTTGCTATATAGGTAAGGCTGGCCTTAAACTCACTATGTAGCACAAGCTGGTCTCAAACTCTTGAGATCCTCCTGCCTAGCCCCCTGAGCGCTAGGATTACAGGCATGCACTACCATGCTTGCCAAGTAGTTACTGTGATGTAGTAGAAAGTACATGAATTCTGAAATTAGAGGCCTTGGTTTGAATCCTATCAAAAGTTATTGAGAATACAAAACAAAAACATGTTTATGTAAATAAAACATTTTGAAAGTACAGAGTATCTTCTATATGTTAATTTTTCAATACCTAATGAAATGCCAAGAATAGAGTAAGCATTCATCCATTATTCATTGAAAAAATGAACTATGCATTGTTATCATCCCTGGTACACTCAGGCTTTGCTAAAGAAAGCAAGCCTTGTGGCAATAAAGAGGTTTTAATCATTATGTTCTGTGACAGTGAATTCAGGTTGTTTGCTTGATTGGCTTGAGACCCACCTGGGGAATTAAAGCATATTTCTGAGAGAGCCTGCTGGGAACTCGAGGTGTGACCTTGAGGTCTCTATCTGGTCCTGGCCACTTACTTCCTCTCTGGTCCCTTACTCTGCTTCCAGCTACCGTGAGGTAAGCAGCTGCTTGCAGCCAGCCCCTCTGATGCGATGTTTCTGTTTTAGAACTAATTGGAGACCATGGACTAATGCCATGAACCAAATTAACCATTTCTTCTGGGAAGCTGTGGGTGTCAGGTGTTTGATAACAGCAGCGGGAGAGCTGACCAACACACTTTCCTCACTAATGATCTTGGTATAGTTAATACCTTAAGTATCCTAGAATATGATAAAGTGGCAAATATTTATTAAAACATTTCTTGCAACAGGACTGACTGGCTATAGAGTACTTACTGCGGTGGCCTGTGGGTTATTGGGGTAGGCATTCAGGAGCTCCTGAGGAGGGTTTAGAGGTTTGAGATAGCGAGTAATGAAAACTGTTTTTCCATTTATGTCAATTACTGTCGTAAGGCACTGCCGATTCGGGAACTTTAAGGCACACTCAGTTTGAAACTTCTCTGTTGCTTGAAGCAATTTCTCATCTTCCTGAGAATCAAACTGCAGAAAGAAACGCTTCATGGACTTTATATGCTTACAGGAGACAAAGTAGAACATGTCACAATTCCTCATGAGCCAAAAGGGTGGTTTGAGAAGTATGATGAAGTGGTTCTTTATAAAACCATCTTGTCTTGGTATCCCTGAAAGTTTGATTAGTTGCATTTATAATTTAAAAATTAGAGGATTCCTTAAACACATAAGGTGCACTCCACAGGGTCAAAAGAAAGTACTGAACAGGTAAGCAGCCACCTGGAAACTACTGGATTAATATAACAAGCTATAAAATTAAGCTATGCCGTAGTAATTCTGATTGATGAGCCCCAGCAATAAACTTTTATGTGACTGTACTTCTCTGTTGGTTTTAAGGGGAGGAGGGCTCAGAAATCCATCATGTCAGATGTAAGAGGTCTGTGTGACAGATTCCTAGCGTAGAACTGTCAAGCCAGAAATAAGTGTAGCTTTAGGAAGACGGAAAATTACAAAACAAAGAGGATGTGAAGAAAAACCACCCAGTGGATTCAACCATGTTCTTTTACACCCATTCATTTACTTATTCATCAAATATAGTGAGTCCCCGACTTAGGAAAGAGTTATGCTCTGGAAGATTCGTTCCTGAGTCTGACAAAGCAAGCCTTACATAGCGCACCCGTGAAAGTTCGCAACTCAAATCTTCACAGGTCAGGGACTTCCTATACTTGAGAAATGTCTGCAGAGACTAGAAAAGATGGAAGGCACGCTGAATAAATTGAAACAATCCCCTCAAAAATAAACAAGGAAAGGAAAGGAAAGGGGAAAGGAATGGAACGAGGGGAGGGGAGGGAAGGGAAGGGAGGAATCCCCTCCAGGAGCTTCTAGTTTGGAAGGGAACATTGCTAAGCATTTAGGAACTTAGAACACCTGACCAGGGTTCTATGGGGAAAAGTGCAGGGTGCTATGGGACCATCTAAGAGCGGCGGTTGGACGCACTGTCCCGGAAGAATAGCGAAGATCGGAGCTGGCACTGACTGTTGGCTCTCCAGGGTGAGAGGTGCCAGCCCTGGTGCTGCTGCATGGACTCGTGCGTTGTGTTGTGTCTTAGCTCTATGCCAGTGCATTCTGAGGGCAGGGCCTGTGTGTGCAGGGGATCTTCCCCCTCGAGCTTGCACACAGCAAGCCCTTGATAAATATTAATAGTCACCGAAACTTGTTCAGGCCACCTGGATGACACTTCAAGGAGTGAGGCATGAATTGAAGGAGTAGTGTGCTATGCTGGTGGTTTAAGAAGCGCCATGGAAAAACCTACCTACTAAAGGAATTTGGATGGTTTATTATGCAAATAGTTCAGGTAGAACTGACAAGTTCACAGTTTGATTCAACAGGAAATTTGGAAAATTCTTAACTGGCTCAATCATTTGACCCCTAGGTTAATGTAAACATTTACAGAAAACTGGAAGGGTTTATCCTGCTTTCAAATAGCTGTACTGTGACAGCCCCAACCTAAAAAATTGTCAGAGCTACACTGTCTTAAGCAGCTTGTAGGCTTCCAGGATTTAGAAAGAGTGAGGGTCACTCCCAAGGTGCAGAGGACACTCAGATTGGTGACTTCTTACACTTCATGCCAACTGACACTCTTTCTGACAAATCAAGTGGACCAAAGACATTCTTTTTAGGGGGTGGGCATTGCTGGGTGTTGAACACAGGGCCTTGAGCATGCATGCAGCAAGTGCTATGCCTCTGAGCTACACCCTGAACCTGAAGCTGGACATTCTTCACGGAACTGCAGACTCTACAGTTTACCATCAAGGATTCACACAGACATCTGGACCCAGCCCTTGTCCTCTGGGACAGTGAGTAAAAGCAGCTACTTGCAAGCGTAATAATGAGTTGTACAACAAAATACTGGTACCTTCTTAAGGATGTCACTCATCTATCACAGGCAAGGGAGAAAAAAAGAAATAAACAAAATGAGCCGGAAGACTTTATCAATACAAAAAAATCTATTTAAAAATTTCTGTTTTCAACCAAGACACTGTCAAATAGATGTTAAAAGGAGGGTTCAGGAGTTGCCCAGGATTTTAAAAACCTTTTCATTAGTAAATACCTTTTAACAGTCAGATGGAATGATTCCATTTGGGATAGTGGTAGAGGGACAACTCCAATCTGCTAATCCTGGGAGTTTCTGTCAGTGAAGAAATTCTAAATTGTGGCCCCTATGTGTGACAGTTAAGCTTGACTTTCAACTTGACTTTGGAGCCAGCTGAGGGATTAGTGAAGTACATCTGGGTGTCTGGGTGCACCATGGAGGCCTAACCTGGAGAGCCACACCTGGTCTCTGGCCCTTCCCTGCTGCTGTTCCCTGCTGTGCCTCTCAGCCACTGTGAACTGCACAGCATTGCTCCACCACCCTTCTGCCATTACGTTCCTGCCTCGGAGCCAGTTAACCATGTACTGAATCTCCCAAAACCATAGGCAAAGTCAACCTTTCTTCTTTAAGTTGTGTATGTCGGGTTTTGAGTCTCAGTAGTAGGAAGGCTGACTAATACACTTGTTTGAGGGTAAGAGCTTGACTTTCTTGAAGAGTCTGCAGGCGAATCACAACATGGTAATTTCTGCAACTGGTTCTTGGATTATCAGGGTCCTATCAATCAACTGTCTTTCCTCTCCAACAGTCACAAAAACAAACCCTCTCTAGAGGTCCTCGGGAAATGCTTCATGTAGCCACCATAGGGCAGTGAAATGCCACCGCAGGCAGCTGCCTGTCTCCTGGTTCAGGGCTGGGGGAGGACGTCTGCACCACTGGGAGCTGCGCTCCAACCTGGTGGCCTCTCCAAAGGAGACCTGGAGCAGGCACTAGGGTGTTCACCTTTTCTGTCAGCCATGGACTGCTCTCCCATGATGTGAAAACTCACCTCCAGATGGGGGACTGGCCAACTGCCTTTTGTTTTGTTTAGAATTCACAGAAATAATAAAATCATCTTTTGTTTGGGGCCATTTTCTGTGTGAACATGCTTGTGGGTTTTCTCTTGAATTTATACATGAAGACAACACCCAAAATATATAGTTTCCTCTCTGAAAATATTAAATGCACATATTCTAATGTTTATTTTGAGAATCACAGCTTTAGTGATAAAGCCTAGTATATAAGAGTAATTTGAGCTGGGTGTGGTGGCGCACACCTATTATCCTATCACTTAGGAGGCTGAGGCAGGAGGACTGCTATGAGTTTGAGGCCAGCCTGGGATATATAGTGAAATCTTGCCTCAAAAAAGACAGAAAAAAAAAGCGTACTTTGTATTTCAGTATATTTGTTTTCCCAGTAATCTTTTATATCCTGTAAATGGCTTCCAAATGAGATATAAACATAGTAATTTTCTCTGTGAAACAGTTTGGAATACTGGAAAAGAAATGGAAGTGTGTTTATTATTATTTTTTTTGTCTCCATCCGAGTCTTAATTACAGTGGAAAACAAAAGAGGACAATAGGTTCTGCCACATGGTGTGGCAGTTAACACCTAACATTATTGTGAATACACACTTCGTGAAATTTCCACCGCTTTTCTAGGCTTTTCAGCCAGTCCCTTAAAAATACCTGTCACATCAGTTTGCTCAGTAATGTGTGTTGGGTGTACATAGGGTGGAGTCAGATAGCAGTTTAAATGTCACCTCTGCCATGTCTTTGATTCACTGCCCAAGACATCTGCGAGTATTAAAGGAGAGAACAGATCTCCAATGTCTGACAGCGCTGAGGAATAAGGACTGAAACCATTTTGGTGATACTTATTACTGCATCAATCTGCATCTCAATAAAAAGAGGTCACAATCAATAACTTTTTGCCAAGTCCCAAAAAGGCAGTATGCATAAAGGCCGCATAAATACTTCACACTGAGAAAGTTTATTTCCCAATCATAGAGGTGGGGGAACAGCTGCTACCAAGTGGAAGTTATGGAAATTCTTCTTTCTAGAGCTATTTAAAAGCGTATTTATGCACATACTGATTCATCTAATGAAACGAATTTGGTAGCCCATGAAGGTCACCTGGCCTTTTGATCCTATGAATTGATTCAGGGCACAGGCACATCCAGATTCGTGAGGTCAGACATGGAATCTGTTCGAGCGTGGTTGCCAGTAAATTTCATGAGGAATCTGATTTTCTGGTGTGTCATTCCTCATTTTCTTCACACTGAGTAACTTCTTCTAAAAGCAGAACATGTTTATGTTTGTCTTGCTTTGCCCAGAAGTTTAGGTTACTGATTGACCTAATTATTGGCTCAGTGAAGGTGCAAACCGGCACATGTGTTCTCTCACTAACATGCAGTCCAAACTGGAGGGATAATTAATGGAGACTGAAGCAAAAGAACCTCTACAGAGTGCAAAGTTTACAATAGCTTCGTCTGGCCAACACTTCTCGGGTTTCGCCAGCGTTAGACGTGGTTTCCAAACTGTGTATAAACAAAATTACCTTCTCCCGAACTGACTCTCCTGGAACCAGCTGCGGCTCAATGGTAATGAACAGCGTGATATAGGAACTTTCGCTTAAGCTTCGAACCGGATCAAGGCCTCGCTCAATAATCATGTTTCGCTCCTTACTGTAGCCCAGGAGAACCGGGGGAATATCTATTTTAAATGTTCCATCAATCTGTGAAGAAAATGTGACTTGGTAAGCATTCTGGTGATTTTTTCCGACAGAGGTTCAAAAGCACATGTCAACTCCTCCTTGTCTAGTGAATTAAATAGAAAGTAGCATGGCTGACATTCAAGGCCCACCCTATCTCTCTAGCTTCGTCTCCCAAGATCTCCGGAGAAAGGGTTTTGTATTTCCCTGCCTTCTGTTTTGTGTTTACTCAAGGGTGTGCTGGCTGTGCAAGTTGCTTGGGTTCATATCCTGGACTAAACTTCAAGTGCCTCAGCTTCCTCATTAATAAAAAGGAGACAGCCATAGTGTAGGGATGCGATGATGAGCGAATGAAGAGATACAAAATACTGGGGATGGGGATTTAGCTCAGCGGCAAAGCGCCTGCCTGGCAAGCGCAAGGTCGTGAGTTCGGTTCCCGGTACCGGAGAAAAAAACAACAAAAAAAAAGAGATACAAAATACTAAAAACAGTGGCTCGCATGTGACATGGGCTCTATAAATACTGGCTGGCTGCCACCATGCCAAGCTTGCCATCTTTATTATTTATTTATTTATTTATTTGAGCTTGCCATCCTTAGCTTACAGAATTGTAATCATTTTTTAAGGCTTGGGTCAAATGCTTGTATCACAAATTTCTTTGTTATCACTACCACTCTCCCATAGAGTTTGTTTCTCTCATTTGTTGCAGTAACACATTCTCAGCTTGATAGTTGTGTGCAGATTTCTCATATTCTAGATAACTGCACAGTGCAAATATTTTTCCTCCTGCTGTGTCATTTTTCTCGACACATAGCAGTGTTTTGAATGCACAGTAGATGCTCAATGAATGTGGGCTAATTGGATGTCAAACCCCTTATGCAGAAGGAACTTACATAGAGTTCAAAAGGGCGGAATGTTTTTACTCTTGTTAAATCAAAACTATTCAGGGTTGGAATTTTAAATGCAAGAATTTGCAGGGCATCTAATTTTTATTTCAGTCTTTAGTAGCTTTTGTGTCTCAGGAGAAATAAAGAATTTAACATTTCGGTGGATATGTTGTCTAGGGATGGATTATAGAAGCCATCTTTTATTTGTCTCCTTACATCCCTGGAGTGCACCAAAGCCTAACTCAGTTAGGTGGTAGGGTACTGTAATGGTTGAAACATTGTGTCAATTTGAGAAGTTTAGAAGCTTAACTAACTCAGCAGTTTTACATCCTGAGTGTAGAGGACATGCCCTAGGGCAGCTGTTTATGATCCAGTATGTTGTAATGGCTGATTCATTGTGTCAACCTGAGAAGTTTAGAAGTTTAACTAAGTGACTTAGCAGGGGGCTAGGGTCCTGACTTTATAAATGTCCTGAGCCTGTGCAAGAGGAGGGCACAAGTGCTATAGTTGCCCTAGGGTGCGTGGCCTGCATACACTATAAGGGAGGAAAAGAGGCTTACTTCCCTCTTTCTGCTCTTGCTGTTTTTGCTGTCTTCTGTTGCCTTGAACTGTTACCCTCATCATGCCACCCTGCTTTGGAGCCAGCTGACTACGGACTAAAACCTCCACAGACTTGAGCTAAATACATCTTTCCTCTCATGGTTGGTTGATGTCTGGTATTTTGTCTCAGCAATGAGAGAAAAGTAACTAAGACAGGTACGGAGGAGAAAAAGTACAAAAATTACAGCTGAAACAACTGTAATTTTACTGTATTTTACTCTGTAAAATAGACCAAGGACACAGGAGGGAATGTGCACTACCTTCAAATGTTTGATATATAAGAACATTTTTTTTTTTTTTGGTCTTTTTCAGGCAGGGTCTTCCTGTGCACTTCAGGCTGGCCTTGAACTCACTTTGTAGCCCAGGCTGATCTTGAACTCACAATGATCCTCCTGTCTCAGCCTCCCGAGTGCTAGGATTACAGGCGTGCGCCACCATACCCGGTGATGTATAAGAATTTAAGACAGGGTTTCTTAGCCTGGCATAGTTGCTATTTGGGGCCTGGTCACTCTTTGCACCAGAAAGGTGTTCTATGCAGTGTAGGATGCCAGTAGCAAACTCCACAGGATTTATCAAATATGTCTCTGGATATAACCAAATGCTCCGTAGCGTACCTTTAAGAGCATGGGCTTTGGAATCAGACAAAACTTCTTGGATAAATATAATGAAGTTATTCTCCAAATAAACACTGAAGCATATAAATAAAAAAAACCTGAATATTGCTTTCTCCTTTAGCCAATCTTAATAGAGATTGGTAAAAGTTGAATCCCAACTGTGCCGTAAGCCTTTGTGATTTGAGTAAGTTATGTAACTTCTCTGTGTTCTGTCTCTTTGTAAAAAAACAATTGGGTTATGAGGCTTAACTGAAGTGACACATAAGGAGCTTCATATGAGTATGTAATATGCACCCCAAGTGATTATCAGTATGGGATCAGGATTCTCCTTGTTACATGTAGCTCTGTAGCAGGACCTAGGAATGGGAAATAGTGAAAATACATAGATTATGGCACCATTCAAGGAACCTTATGACAGAGCCATTGGAAAGAGAATAACTTACTTATAGGTAGTGATTCCTTGGGGATGGGCTCTGGGCATCACCAAAGCAGAAAATAGGAGACTTACACATCAGGGAATTGGGGATAATTACTTCTGAGTCCCCTTCCAAACGTGACTTTTGGCAATGCCAAATGTTATAGGCATCTGGTTTGTAAATGAAATGCTCTTTACATTTTTTTCATTTAGAATCTATTCAAAGATGGAAAAATACTCTCTTCTGGGGAGTGCGACACACCACACTGTCCTTTTTGTGCAGAGAGAATTGCAGTTCCAGATGATCCTTAAGATTCCAGCTACCCCAAGTCTCCCAGACTGGAGTTTTGCTCTTGGTTTTGCTGGCGACCCTGTGGCCCAGAAAGCACTCGCTCTGTGCAGTCATCACAGTGGCTCAGACTCGCCTGTGCTGTGGCTTTAACACCGGGCCATTAGAGAGATTTCAGAATCTTTAACTCTTGCCGTTCAAGGGCTGTCAAACTAATGAATCCCCTTCAGCAAAATTGTTAATGCTGAAGAAGGTTATCTTTGTGCTGCAGTTGGTGCAAACAATTTTTTTCATGTTGAAATAGTGTGCACTCAAGAAGTGTTAACAGAACACACTGGATTAAACGGGCCGTCAACTGTCTTGATTGTTTTGTTCCAGTTACATTCAGTCATCTGTCCATTCCACTTTGGTCATTTTGACAAGTTTGCACTTTGTCCCACCCCCTTCGCTTCTACTGAGATGTTTAAAATATTTTCAGATTTGAACAGTCATGCATTAACCATTAACTCTAGCGCTTAATTTATTAATGCTTTATAAGTCACACACATATCACAGAAGATCAGTGTGATGACTATTTCATTGCAAGGCCTTTGTACCTATGTTCTCTCAGTGTTGCCAGGAAAAACAGAGCTGTTGCCTATTCCCAAGGAATTCTGGCTTCAGATACTCACCCTTGCCTGGGAATATATGGTGCTAAATGGAAACTTCACACATCCTAACCAGTGTCTCTCAATCCGAGTGTGGATTCCACTTCCTCTTTCCCGATCGTCCTAAAGGAAAGTTTGGGGGCGGTAAAATTTACTTAAGAGCTCCAGACAAGCATTTAATTAATTTCTCAGCAAGAAAGCAGCAGAATTTTAGCTAACAACATGCAGACTTAGATTAGACAGACCTAGCTGAATCCTAGTTTGGGTACTTACTAGCTTTGTGACCCTAGGAGTCTTTTCATTGTCTTTGAACTTCAATTTTCTCATCAATGAGCTGCAGCTTTAACAATGTACCGCATACAGCTACTTTAGAATTAAACAAGACAATGTATATAAAGGATTTAGTACAATTCCTGGAACAGAGCAAATACTTGCCCCACACCATTTTCCCACTTATCCATGTCAAGTTTCAAACACTGAGAACATAAGCAAGGTGGGAAATGTGTCTGAGACTTCTACTAGGACCGAGGATATGACCAAGACAGTCAGACGTCTTCCTTAAAACTGAGAACTCACCTCTAAGATGTCATGCAGCACTTCGTCAAAAATGTTAATGAACACATCATCTTTCACCGACTGTAAACTGGCTGTGCTGTAATCCCCATTCGGGGCCCTGCAAAATACCACAGGACCAGGGACCGTGAGAACAAGGAAAACAGAAGTAATGAGATGTAAATGTCAACATCTGAAAAATACCCAAATAGAAGTGTAGGGGGAGCATGAAAGGCAGCACCTTCTTCCCTCTTTCCTTCCTTCCTTTTTTTTTTTGAGACAGGGTCTCCTATTAGTTCAGGCCCTGAACTCACTGTGTAGTCCAGCCTGGCCTCGAACTCACAGTGATCCTCCTGCCTCAGCCCCTTGATTACAGGTGTGTCCCACCATGCCCAGCTATTACAGGCAGTGCTTTCATTTCCAGGACTTGCCTTGCACAGGGAGAAGGTCAGATAATATCTGTCCTCCGGTGGAGAGAACACCGAACTGGAGACTGCATAGCCGACTCCTCTCTGGCTTGTTCTGGTGAGTCTCGGCATTTTCCCCAAGCTCACTGTAAGCTTGGCAAGGAGCTGCTGCCGGGATGGAGCTGGCTCAGTGCGGGGCCACAAGGCCTCCCGCGGACCCTGGGGCTGTCCAGCACCGCGGCTCCCAGGAGTCTGCCACTGTCACTGTACTGCTGAATGTCCCTCCCCTCCACTCACTTTCTCACATAGGAGGAAGCCGACACAGGGGGAGGGCTTTCCCTGCAGGGCTGGGCGTTTGCCTTCAAATGGCCTCCTTCTCTGTATGTTTTGTATAGCAGTGGTATGTGTTCCCTTCGAACCCTGCTCTGTCTCTGAGTTATCGTGTGGCTTTCAGGACCTCACCTTCCCTTTATGGGTATTCGTTTCCTCTCCACAAAAGCAGAAGGTTAGATTAGGTCACTTAAGGAACTAAAATAATAAAAAATCATTAAAATATCTGGAATTCTTGGATCAGAGTTGTGGAATGCTTGTTTATTTTTGACAAGGACAAAATGTCATTTACGGGATCTAGAGAGTTTCCATTTTGCTTAAAGACAGGATCCGAGGAAGAAAGGAAAAGCAGGACCAGGTCAGTGGATCAGGGTAATGCAAAGATTTGTGATATAACAAGCCAGAACCTGCTGGACATGATGGTTCCTGCCTATAATCCTAGCACTCTGAGAGAGAGGCTGAGGCAGAAGGATCATAATTTTAAACCTAGCCCTGGGAACTTAGCAACTTTGTGACACCCTGTCACAAACAAACAAACAAACAAACAATAACAGCAAAAAAGCCAGAGCCTGAGGGAACATAGAGTGTCCCACCATGACCCCAAGTTCCAAACACCAGACAAATTGTTCCATTTTTACGGAGTCACCTGTGGCCAAGAGATGCAACATCAGACTTGATATCCGGGCACCTGATCCTTGTTCCAAATCACCGGCTATCCACCGCTCACCTCAGGCATTTCTCACTGGGCCTCTGTCTACTTTACACTATTCAAGCTCTCCTGTGGTTCTTTAAAGAGAACTGTGCTTACCTGAATGGAAATTCAAGCTCTTCATTCCAGCTGGGATTTGGTCCTTCAGCTGTGGTTGTGTGGCAAACTGTCCGTTGAAAAGAGACTTCTACAAAAGGCCGCACTAAAACCTTACAACCAAGGACAAATCCTGGTTAGCGGAATTATTTTGTTCTTCGCAGAGGTAGCCTATGCTTACTAGTGTATTTAAACAATAAAGTGAAGCAGAAAGCAAGGCTGCTCAGGAAGGTCATGGGCGGTTCTTAGAAACATCGGGGGGCCACTGTGTCTGGCTCTCACCTGACCGAGGGGGCTGTCGGGGCTGTGTGCGCTTGGGGAAGCAGCGTGCTTCTCACCGAGAGTCCTCGAAGCCCTCGCCGGCTGCTGGGATTTGCTGGGAGGGAAAGTGTATGAAAGGCATAAGTGACAAGGCGTATCTAATAATAAGCTAATTCTTCAGAAGTGAAGAGAGTCGCTTTCTTCAGAGAGGTACGACCCTGGTGGCTGTGGGGAAAGCCATTCTTCCTAAGCCTGTGGGCGTCTCCAGAGCTTTTCGTAGTCACCTCATGATTCTGAGGGCCTTCCCCAACTCCCTTCCAGCCGGCATGTCTGGCTGAGAACAGAACAAAAGGCCTCCCTCTCTCCTTCCCTTGCAGGAGGCGCCGGGTGGGACTCGCCTTTCCCGTGAATGCGAGCCTGATCCCTACCAGGTAGCCCAAGCCTGGCCAGCTGCCCTGTCTCCATCCAGTTTCACTTTTCTCCACTGAATTTTGTTTGAACTGCTTCTCCAATGACCCTGAGCTACAGGCCAGGGCCGGGAGCTCTCTCTGGGCCTTTGCAGCTTTACTGGCAAGAGGAGGCTGGGGACACCAGCTTGAGTTAGGAGCAGTGGGTCTTACCCCTTTCTCTCCTTTCTCTTTCCTCCTTCTCTTCTTCTCCTTTTTTCCTTCTTTTTTTTGTCTTTTTGAGACAGGGTCTTGCTATGTAGTTCAGGCCAGTTTTGAACTCACTATGGAACTACCGTGGCCCCAGACCTGCGGTGATCCTTCTGTGTCAGCCATCCAAGTGCCTGGATTACAGGTGTGCGCCACCATGCCTAGGTCCCTTCTCCCTTTTGATCTGCCATTCATACAGGAACAGATGAAGGCCACTGCCAGACAGCCTCATGCAGATCCCCCTCCCTCAGTATCCTAACTGCCCACTTGCTCTACTGCATTTTATGGTTTCCCAATAAACCATATTTATTCAATCCTGATCAAATTACAAAATGTCTCTCTAGGAGGTGGTTGACTTTTCACAGGTTAGGTTTCAGACAAACTATGAGACAATACAAATGGAACATCCAATGCCACAACTGCCAGAAAAAACCCTTTTCCTTTGGAAAACCATCAATTACATTATGAAACAAACACACGTAATTTAATAATTACAAAAGCAAATGTAATGTGCTTATTTTAGGACCTGTATTAGACTTGGGCTACAGAGACAAATAGGATAACACTTCAGCTCAGACTGAACTGGTAGGCAGACACAGATTAATCTCACATAGTAATCTCCAAGAGTAAACTCTTGTGAGACAGGTGGTGCTGAACGACCTTGACTGTCACTTGCACTTGCTTCACTTCCATTATTTCTGTTGTAAAATGAAGATGCTAGTAGTAGCAGTGAGAGTGACATGAAATGATACATGTGAATGCCTAGTATGGCCCTGTGTAAATGCACAATAAACTTTACTTTCTTCCACTGCACTGGTAAGAGCAAAGGAAAAAGAAACAGTAATTCTTGATTGTTCTATCTCTGTTCTCAGAGTAATCTCAGGTGAGGTAACATGTTAGACTAGAGGGGTGGTCATGGCCATACGAGCACAGAGATGGAGATGAAAAATCCTATTTGGTTGAGTGCAAAGGTAGAGGCTGAAGATCTGGGTAAGCTTCATGGAAAAGTTGATGTGTGAACTACCTTGATCCATCTACACTGAAACATGTAGCATGTAGGAACAGTGATACTTTCTTGAATTATTATTGTTATTATTATTATTATTATTA